AACTCCAGTGAGCTGGGGAACATTTGGTGAAGACAAATAAATACCATCAATCATTCATAACTAGGACCAAAACACTGCAATTCCCATTTCCTTCTGCCCCCTCCAGCAGGCCATTTGCAGGGCTCACTCCCACACCTGCTGCAGTCCAAGGGAAGCTCTGCCTCCATCCTGGGGGAACCTGGATCAGGAAAGAATTAATGAAAGCATTTCCCTTCCACTGCCTGTAAGCCAGCAATGAGCTGTTCCTTACAACAGTTCCCCCCTCCTGATGCCGTGCTGCCATTGCCAGGGCACAGGGACCCAGTCAAACCTTGCTCAGAAACCCTCGGCATATTTTTAGATACTTATATATATTCATTCCTAGTGACCAGCTGAAACAAAGACATTTATTTTAACCACAGACAGATTACCTCTGAGATGCATCCCAAGGCTCTTCTGACCTTGGTTCCCTTACTCTGTTTCCAAATGCACAGTTTAAAAGTATGGGTTTATTGCCTTTAATGCATATATTTATTAAGGCAGCAACAACAATCACAGCCACTGCTCCCCTTTCCTTGCAACCCTCACTTAGCAACCAGTCCGAGTGCTGCCAGCATTACTCTAGGCTTGCCAAGGAAACTATTCCTCTTCCTCGAATTTAATTCCCTAGCAGAGTTTCATTTGTATTTGGTGCTGTTTGGGTGTCATGAAAACCCTCCTGGCCCAGCTGAGGACAAGGTGTGCTGCCATCTCCTGCTCCCGCCCCGCAGATCCCAGCTGGGAGTGGCTGGGGCTCCACCTCCGTCCCACGCTCTGCTCAGGACCACTGACCTGGAAGCATCTGTGCAAAAAATAACATCTTTCCAGATTTTATCCATTGGTATCTCAAAAGAGACTTCTCAGAGGAGAGTTTTCCTCCCTCTAACACTGAGGACAAATCCATGCAGTGGAAGCTGGAGCTCCCTGCAGAGGGAGCAGGATCTCCATTCCATCACAGCCAGGGATGGGAGTGGGAATCCTGCTTTTTAGATAAGCCCATGGCATCTACCATCGAACTTATCTGCAGACCCTTTCCAGCTCTGTCAGGGCAGCTTGCTCTTTGCATGGGAATTAAACAGAATTCCCGACTCCGGGCTCCAGGCTCCCGTACTCAGCACCACTGGCATGGAGCATGCCTGCAGACATGCCCTGTGACACACAAAACTGGGAAAGGACTTCCCCACATGGCTAAACTCTTCTAGAATATTGGTCAAGCAGTGCTGGAAACAAGAGCATCGGGCCAAGGGACTTGGGGGGGGTCACACTGTCTCGTTGCCTCTCCAAGGGTATCCTGCTCCAGCACATGCTGGTTCCCTTGGAGACGCACAAGAAAGGAGGAGGCTCCCAAAGACGGGTAGTTATTTCACCTCTCACACCCCTGGGCACCAGGAGCTGGTCAGAATTACAGGGACCTCCTGCCACCCTGAGGATCCAGGAGAGGTTCACCTGTATCCTGCTCTCCAGAGCTCACGGTGCTTTGCTTCCAGGAAAAGACAAGGCCGTGCCAGCGGCACCAACACTGATGCCAAGCGGGTGCCAAAAGGATTTATACCTCTTCAGCTGCCACAGAGAAGGAAACAGCCCTGTAAGGTGAGCCCAGCACACGCCTCACTCGCAGCCAGAGCCACAGAGGGAGCAGCTGGCACGGGGGCCACATGGGCATGTGTCAGGACCCACTTTTAAACACCAAAACAACTCCTCCAGAGGCTCTTGAGTAGCTCTTGAGGGCCTTCTCCCATCAGTCCAGACTTATCTGCTGCTCTGCGGTGCTTTAGGACCCTTCAAAGCAGCATGACCTGCCCTTGCAGGATGTGTGTCCAAATTCCTGGGGTCACTGCAGTGCTCGGCAGGTCTGGGGGTCCCCCTGAGCCCCAGGACACACCAGGAGGGACACAGGGCTTGCACCAAGCCTGAGGTTCAAGTAGGAGTGCACACAAGAGGAGGAGGAGGCACTCACCACTCCCCAATCCTGAGCTTTACCCCCTCTGCCTCCTCTCTGGATAACATGGAATGCTGGCAAAGCCAGTGCAGGGCAGGGGGGAAATGTAGCCTCTTCCCCTCAAGTACAGCTCTCCCTACACTAGGTGCAGCTGGGCAGTATATGCTAATAATTTGTCAAACACTGAGCTGGAACTGTGGATAAGAATCATGCTTTTTGTACAGAAAATTGAAAATGAAATAGTGCCTACAACTGCAGCCATTACACAGCACATTATCTTGAAGGGCTTTGGTGTAATTTAGATAAAACACCATATCTCTGATTTCAGAAATGTCAACATCATTCTAAACGTACATGTGCTTCTCCACTGGTTTTCTGTGAAGATTTACAACTCCACGAGCCTTTCTCTCTCATTCTCTCCATTTTCTTTTTAAATTGGCAAATGAGTATTCCATCTTTCAAAATTTCAGGTATATTTTTGTATGTGGGAAAAGTGCATGTTCAGAGATGCCCCTAATGGCTCCATTATGGATCTCATCAGCTGTGACACACTTCCCAAAATAAAATCTATGCCTTCGGATGGAACAGAAAAATTAATACCTGAGCAAGGATGAAATGTTTCACTTCCCTCCTTCGCCCCTGATGTTCATGTCGCACTTCATCCCTAGTGCTCTGTACTTTTTTCTTCAACTCTCCTTCAAAGAGGAAAACTCCCAAACTGCAGTACAGAAAATTCCAGTTAATCATACCAAACCCCCTTTCTCAGTGGTCAGATGCTGGCCCAGGTTGTCTGGAGAGGCTAAACAGTCTCCATCCTCGGACATATTCCAAAGCCAACCAGGCACAGTGCTGAGCTCCCTGCTCTGGGCATCCTGAGTGGAGACCAGGGCAGGTGACCTCCAGAGGCACCTGCCAACATCACCCACTGTGTGGGTTCCTGTTTCATTGCTAGTTCATAGGAAAATGGGTACAATTAGCATGAATTTTATCCATGTTTTGCCATCTCCAACCTCTGATCAGGTTCCAGGAGTGTCTTAGACCCCCTGCTAACTGTCCTCCTATGGTTTCACACTGTTCTCCAGGGAGGGGTCAAAACCAGGGTGTTGGCACAAAATACCAGTGTTGGGGGATGTTGCCTCCTGCAAATGCTGGGGAGCCGGGAGCGAGGGAGGAAGGATCAGGCACGGGGGCTGCTGTCACTGCTGGACTTCCAGCAGGGCCGGCTGTGCCTCTGTTTGCTTGTACCTGCATCAGCAGCTGGACAAAAGGGACGGGACTTTTTCCCCCAGCACATTTACATTCTCATTTAATTCTCCACAGGCTCCTTCCCTGCCCCGGGAGCTGGAGCACATGCCCACAGCCCAGGCTCTGTGCAGGCAGGTGGTGGCAGCCATCCATGCTGGTGTCAGTGCCCTGGGAGGGCAGAAGGGTGCAGGTCCACACCGTTTGGCTGTTTGCTGTCACGAGCAAAGAGGCAGTGACACATCCACGCTCCCCCCGAGTACCTGGGACTGTCTGCCACTCTCAGCAGTGTGCTACACAAGGAAATAAAGAGGCTTCTAATTAGATTAAGACTGACCAAAAATGCATAGTGAATTACCATTCTTCTTTTTCACAAAACCGAATACTTTGTGAGACAAATGCCATGGCAGTCTGAGCCTTCAGCCTCGCCTTCAGCAACTCCCCACACTCAGCCCTGGCATTTCCCACTTCCCAAGTGCCCTGGACAGCTCTGGGCACCAGCACCTCCGCCCACCACTCCTGCACACACACATGGAACCAACCCAGGGAGTGTTTATAGGTATGCGAGTCTGCAGCTGCAATTTACAAGTTCATTAACAGT